AATGCGGTTCAACAAGGAGAAATGCAAAGTGCTGCACCTAGGGAGGAAAAATGTCCAGCACACCTAGAGCCTAGGGAATGACCTGCTGGGTGGCACGGAAGTGGAAAGGGATCTTGGAGTCCTAGTGGACTCCAAGATGAACATGAGTCGGCAGTGTGACGAAGCCATCAGAAAAGCTAATGGCACTTTATCGTGCATCAGCAGATGCATGACGAATAGGTCCAAGGAGGTGATACTTCCCCTCTATCGGGCGCTGGTCAGACCGCAGTTGGAGTACTGCGTGCAATTCTGGGCACCGCACTTCAAGAGGGATGCGGATAACCTGGAGAGGGTCCAGAGAAGGGCCACTCTTATAGTTAAGGGCCTACAGACCAAGCCTTACGAGGAGAGACTAGAGAAACTGGCTCTATTCAGCATACGCAAGAGAAGGTTGAGAGGCGACCTTGTGGCTGCCTATAAGTTCATCACGGGGGCACAGAAGGGAATTGGTGAGTTTTTATTCACCAAGGCGCCCCCGGGGGTTACAAGAAATAATGGCCACAAGCTAGCAGAGAGCAGATTTAGATTGGACATTAGGAAGAACTTCTTCACAGTTAGAGTGGCCAGGGTCTGGAACGGGCTCCCAAGGGAGGGGGTACTCTCCCCTACCCTGGGGGTCTTCAAGAGGAGGTTAGATGAGTATACTCTTCCCTGCCTATGCAGGGGGTCGGACTCGATGATCTATTGAGGTCCCTTCCGACCCTAACATCTATGAATCTATGTACCACGTGGCAAAGGGTTAATGACAGGGAGATAGTTTAGAATAGATCATTAATGTAGTTTTCACTTTATTTATGAACTAGCCAATTGCCTGTCAAGAATGATGGGGTAGGGGAGATAAGCCAATAGCAGTAGGCAGCAGCAATTGGTGATGGCAATAGGTGCAGTGGAAACGGCAGTATAGCAAGTAGCAGTAGGGATAGGTGACAGCAATAGGCAGTAGGGAATGGCTAGAGCCATAGGGATAGGCAGTAGGGCAGTGTTTTGCACCCTTTTGTTCTTCATGGACCCCTAAAATATTCTGACTGGAGGTGCAGCCCCCTTTGGATTGTAAGTACACATGCTTTTCCTTGATCACAGTCATCTTTCATGGACCCCTTGGACATAGCCAAAGCAGCCAGGCTGCCAGGGGACATGGGGGAGGAGCAGGCTCAGGGGGTGACACAGAAGCAGGGGTAGGGGAGGAGTGGATCTGGACCCGACATGGGAGGAGGCTCGCTCCTCCCTTCCCCCCACAGCTGCCATGTTGGGCTGGGCCAGGCTGGGCCCACTGTTCCATTCCCCCACCCCACCCCCACTGCCATGGCGGGCCAGCTTTTCCCCCAGCTCAGGCTCGCTTCCCAACCCGCCACCCCCCCACATCGGGCCCAGGCTCAGTCCTCCCCTGACCCCACCATCACCATACATATAGTGGTTATTTCTGCTGTGCATTTCATACAAGTGTCATAAAGCAGCTAGTTGCTGTAAGGTTTTAGCAGGCTATAACAACGATGAAGAGGATGATAGTTTTCAATCTACCTGCTAATTTTTCTACTTTGCAGACTTGGCTTTTGCATTATGTAGTACAGAACATGTGGACAAAAATATGGTTTAGCACTTCTTTAAGTTTATTCGTCTGTATTTCTTTTCACACACACACTGAGCTTCTATGGATCAGCCAACCTAGTTGCGTACTTCTGAGCTACTTCAAGACACAATGATTAGAGCTGCAGCCTCCACGCACTTCATTTGAAGTTACTAGATGTGGATGTTCACCATCTCCGACAATCAGGTTCTGATTCAGCAAAGCATTGGTTCAGCCTCAAGAATCAATAACCTGAAGCCCTACTACATTAAAAAAATACGCAGACTAGTGCTGAATAATTATTTCAGTCATCTCAGGGCAATGCACAATGTTAACACACAAGTTTTCTGCTCTTTGGACATTAGTCTGGTAGGCCAAGTCAAACAGTCATCCCATACTCACGCAAAGCTATTTGTACCCCCAGTATGACCTCTTCCTTTAGTGTAAAACTCAACTACATCATTAAAGCCACTTGGAAAATAGATAAAGTGAGCCAAGCCAGCATCCACTCTGCCTCTAGTAAGGGATCCAAATCCTGCCCCAAAAACAAACCCAGTCAGTTCAGAAAAGGACAAGGCCCAGCTCGAGGTGCTGTCCTGTGCTCTGCCAGGGTTGTTTGGGCAGTGATAGAACCTTGACTGGTTTTTAAAGATGCCTCCCAAGATGTCATTGAGATCTCCAGTGTAGCTGTCCTGCTAATCCTAGGCCTGAAAGCTGTATATACATGCTCCATTGTATTTACTAGCATCCTCCCCACAGGCATGTATTTAAATACTGTCCAAGTGATTTTTGAAGTGTTATTGACATACTAGCAAATTGCCCATCATGAATGATGGGGGTTGGGGCAGTGATGGAGCGCTGCCACCCAGAGCCCCACGGTGCTGCAGCTCTGCCTCCAGCCCCGTGCAAGCCCCCCGCATCCCACCCCCCACCCCCTGTGTGCAGCCCTGTGTGCCCCTCCCACTCCCTCCTGCTCCCCCCCTGCCCACATCTGGGCCCATGGGCCCACCCCTTGCTGCTCCCAGTGCAGCCCCGTGCACCACCCCCACCCCCTGCTGCTCCACTCTCTGACACTGCCAGCTCCCAGGAACAAAGGTGGGGGGGAGTTTGCACGTGGCGACAGCCACTGATACCCAGTGGCACACAACATGCCCCACCTCCTTGCTTCCCCTCACCTCCCTCCCTCTCCGCCGCCTCCCCCTCTCTGCTGGCTGTTGTTGCATGCGCAGTTGGTCTGGAGCGTTACAGACAGACAGACAGACTTTTATTATATAAGATTTTATTAGTTTTACTTTTACTACTTTTATTATATTACTTTTACTACTTTTATTATATTATATTACATGCAGCCTAAAAACTATAGAACTGGGCCTCATTTCTAGACTGTTCTAGATCTGTTGTGCAAATCCAGGTGAAGCTGCCATAACAGGAAGGAAGGAATAACCCATAGCTCTTAGGTGGCCAACCCAAAATGAGCTGATGGTGTTGCCCCAGTTCCTAATAGACTGGGGTCCATAGCACAAAATGCCTATTATAGCTGACACTGTCATCATTATTGGCAGTCTTGGCAAAGAGGGAAAAATCTGAAGGGCATGAAACAAATCTACCCTCTCTTTTCATAGGTTTGGCCTTGAAAATTCAGGGCTGAGGTATTATGATAGTACTGCCTGTGCTGTACCTGTTTGAATAAAATGAGAACTAGGCAGTGAATCCAGCACCTTGAATCTGGGTAGCAAAGGAGCAACAGTGGGTTTTTGGGGGTAAACCAGTACCATTATTTTTGACACTTTCTAAAGTTGCTGTTCGGAGGTTATTATACTATAGCCAGGATCCATTTTCCTATAGCAAAACTCCCATCGGTTGGATTGATAGAAATTCCTGTGGTTTGCCAGAATATTTGGAATTAATTGCATCTTCTCCCCTCCCTTCTCCCCACTTTGGAAACAAAATACCTCAGCAGGACTGAGCTTGTGTTAACAGTGCAGAATCCATCCCAATATTTTTCAGTGGATTATAATCTTCAGGGCGAGACCATCACATCACTGTGTGCATGTAAGCGTGCATGCCAGAATGAAGTCCTGATTAGGGGCTTTAAGGACCACTGTACTATAAATAATGAGTGCCATTCCCATTAGTATCAAATAACTGCAAATATAGAGGCCTGATCCTGCAATGTGTTGAGCACTTCCTGGGAGGTGTTTCCACAGAGTTCCTCCGAGACCATGTTCTGTATCATGTGTGATGATTACACCTTGGTATTCACATTCTTAATTTAACCTAGTATTATTTTTCTCCTGGTTCTGTGAAGCCACTGGAAGACCCTTCTGTTAGGTGGTGTGCAGTAAGCTAAAAATTGATACCCAAAAGCCATGTGCTAATGTTGCATTCCATGTTCTTTCTCTGTTATAGCAGTTCACATTTGTTTCCCTTCCCACGGATGTTCTGGAAATAGAAGTTAAGGACAAATTTGCAAAGAGCCGACCAATCATTAAACGCTTCTTGGGGAAACTGTCCATGCCAGTGCAACGCCTGCTGGAGAGACATGCTATAGGGTAAATCTGTTCTTTGTGTGACCTTTGTTATTTAAGACTCACAAAAAGGAGAGCAAAGCCCATGGCTAAAATAATATATGATCAAATAATGATATAGTTAGAAACTGGTACAAACCGTGGATTTGTCTAATTATGGTGTTGGTTTAAGGTAAAATTTACAGGACTACCAGATCATCATCCTCTGCCAATCAACTCATTCTTTGTAATTTCCTTGGGAATCACACTGGTTAATTGTGAAGGATGATAATCAAGAGTTAGCATAATGCACAGTCTGGTCTCTGTTAAGAGTGTGTACATGTAGGGCCTGGTATTTGGACTTCAAATATTTGTGTCTGTATTTTCCACAGGATGCTTTCATGTTTTAAGGAGTCATCTATGGGTCAAAATAATGCAAGATCTGGTCTTCCATCCCTGTTCTAATGCCTGGATGGTGGAAATAGCTTGAGAAGATAAGAGTGGCGGGTTACAAGAGCACTTACCTCAGTGAACAAGAGTAACTTCAGCTCAGCTTCCCTGCTTCACTTCTCCTTTGCACAGGTGCTCCGGAGAAGAGCTGGTGTAGTGGCCACTTGGGAAGGCAGAGCCCCATATCTGACATCTTGGGGTCTGACTGAACCTCAAGACAAGAAGCTTTCTGATTGCATCACCTCACTTCACTTCTTTGTTGTAAAAGCTGGTCAGCTGCAGGGAAAGACCTCACTGAGTGCAACTGTTTTGTACCACCATCCTGCAACCAGACCTCGCTTTATTTTATCTCTGTAAATGGCTCCTTGAAGCAAAAGTTAAAGACACGCATACAAGTACAGAGAAAACAGAATCCTCAGGTTTCCATGAGTGCCTGGACATTCAAGTTTCAAATGTATATAAAACCATCCTGGCACACACAAAATGCTGAACAGAAATTGAAATTTGCTTTGTCTAAAAGTATACGAATAATAATGTTTAGCACCCTTCACACTCACAGTGATTTACAGGCATTGATTCAGCTTTATTTTGGGCAGCAGGGAGATAATGTTTTCTCTAGTTCACTCTCGTGAGGGGAGGATGAAGTGTGGATCAGGGAGGGACTTGAACAAGGACAAAATGGAAGCGTGGTGAACTTTGTCAGGAATGTGCTCCTGGTGTATCAGCTGTTTGGAGGTAAGAGTGGGAGAAAAACATAAAGGGGTAGACATAGACAATCAGATAGCTGGAAGAGCAACGGAGGGAGGAGAAGAAGGCAGAAACAGAAGAGGTAAAGGGAGTTGAACTAAGAAGGACCTTGAAGGCAAGGAGATTCAAGGCAAGGAAAAGAAGGATCTCAAGAGAAGCTAGACACAGCCAGGTCACCAGGCAAGGAAAACTTGTCAGCATATTCATAACCCACAAACATGGGTTAGTCACTTATTAAACATTTCCACTGCCACAGTAACTGAAGACACTGACCTGGCACCCTCAAGCCTTTGTTTCCTTACACAGACAGACATGCTCATGCTGCTGGTAGGACTAACACAGTACAAAGCACTTTGGAAATGCTAGTGTTTCTGTAGGATGTACCCATTTTCTCTGTGTATAATGAGCACTGGATTTGGTGACAGTTTCCATGACAGTACTTGTTTTCTTACAGGGACAGGGTTGTAAGCTATACTCTGGGCCGCAGGCTTCCTACAGATCATGTCAGCGGCCAGCTGCAGTTCCGATTTGAGATCACTTCTTCTATCCATCCAGGTATGTGCTGTTTCTGTAACCCCTCATTTATTTAAAGATTCTGTTTTTGTCATGATTTATATTCTTTTCTTCACAGAGGCGTGAATTTATTTAAGTCTACATTAGACCTTTAAACATAGCTGTGAGCATTATGCGGGTGTGTATATGAGCTGCATTATGCGGGTGTGTATATGAGCTGCTCAACAATTACAGATTAATCAAGTCTGCAGTGATAGTTACTGTGCTCCAGCAGCCTCCCATGTCTTGGATATCAGTGTCCCTGCACTTCAGAGATGCTTGAACTAAAGCTCATGAAACAAGTTTTAGTTCAGGCATCCCTGCTGCCATTTCTAAGCTCAGGGATGCTGATATATGAGACGCTGCAGCACTTTAATTAGAGCAGCTCCTGGAGCCACTCTAATTGAAGTGCAGCCCCCCACCCCCAGAGCACATGTAAAAGTGCCATATGAGTCACCATTTCCCTCCTGCTGTGCCCTTGCTCCCATAGTATGGAGTAATTTGTTGCTGGCCTGACTAGTAATCAAGACTCTCCTCTGCTGGCTTTAATCCCTTAGGAAGAGAGGGGAACAGGGAAGAGGAGTTAAAGTTAGGGTTCCCTTTGTCCCAGGCACCTGCTTCATGAATCCTCCAATACGCCTACATGCTTTTCACCCTGGACAAATATAGCACCACATACGATTTCTTTCCATATTGTGTCTAATCTCCTGTCTGTCTCAAGTATGTCAGATACGCTTTAGATCCACCCTTGTCAGGGCAGACCGAGGTGGGTTTTAGTTCTGTGTTGCACAGCTCATATATTCCTAGATACAATGTTAGGTCATTAAAAAGAATTGATCAGGAGCCACCTTTTGTAAACATGCTCTTTCCTTATGTATTGATTTCCACATTGTTCACAACTAAGAATTTATCACATCGCTATCTGGAGAGCACAGAAGTGAAAAATTCTCCAAGTGTTTCAGTATCTGGGCCCTCATGAAGATCAGCAGGGATTCTCATTAGACATTGATCCCCCTGGACAGGACAAATATAGCAACACTTACAGTTTCTGACTGTAATATGTCCGGTCTTCTGTCCTGCCTCAGGCATACCAGTTTCTATCCATACAGTAAACAGAATTTTTTGAGTGACCTAGGTCTTGTTGTGTTCATCTTCATTGTCAGTGGGATTTAAAGGTCTTCTCCAGCTTATAAAAGGGTTCAAGTGACCAGTGACAGCAAAATGATATACCACAGGAGAGAGAGGAGGAGGGAAATCCTCAGACAGCAGAAGGAGCTGTTATCATTCTGTTGGATCTCAAATTTCCAAGAGGACCTGCCCTTTTATAGTGCATAGTTAATTAACCAATACAAGTATTTTATTTTTTGGATACATGTATTGTATTGGTTGTATGAAGGCCTCTAGGTTTAAGCATCTTATGAATAGAATATTAACTAATAATAGTAGAGCCATTTGAAAACTTTGTAATTTTGAAAGAGCATATTTTTGTGAACATTTGTGACACTTCCCCTTTTTCTTGACTCACTTTTGCTATGAACATGAGAGTATATAATAACAGTGCCCTCTTTGAGTGTCAGTTTCTGTGTGAGAATTGGGGACTCTTATTTGCTTCTTCATAATAGAATACCCTAAGGCCACGAGCATTTGCTTTGGAGGAGAACAGATTTATTAACAATCAGAAGGAGTTGTTGACAGTGAGAAGCCATGTAATAGGGTTAGAAGGTGTTGTCCTACTGTTTAGGGGCAGATTAATCACCATATTTGGAGTCAGGAAAGCATTTTATCCCACAGTCAGATCAGCACAGACTGTGTGAGTTTTTGCAGCAGGGACATGGTCCTCTTTCTTGGATCTCTTGGGTATATTTTAACAAATTTCACAGCAACAGGACATTAAGTGTCCTCATCTCCCTGCTTTACCTGTGGCAGGTTAGGGTGTTCCTGCTGTTTTGGATGAAGTACCTTGTTGCTGTGTGACAAGGTTGCCTGTGTCATTTTAAGAATAGGCTAGACATGCACTTGTACAGGATGGTTTGGATAAGGATGCTTCTGCCTTGAACAGGGGGTACTAGATGACCTCCTGAGGTCCCTTCCAGAACTGTTTTTCTATGATTCTTTGTTTTACATCACATATGGGGTATCCACCTACGAGAAGGTGACATGGAAGAAAGTAAGGTCAAAGAATGGTCTTGTGTGTGGGTGCGTGTGTGTGCATGAGGATGTCTTTCTACCCAGTTGCATGCAGTAGAAGTGGAAGTAGGACTAAGTTCCTTTCTCTGGAGAAGTATTGAGTAGTGAATGGTAGCAGGAGTCATATCTAGGGAAGCTGGAAACAAGAAGTGAACCCTTCTTATCAAGAAGGATACTGGGTGAGGATTCCCAGAAAGGAGTTCTCCCATAACAGGTAGCAGAGAGGGCAATATTATACATACAGTATATGACTATGATTAGGCCCCTACTTTATACATACCCACTACAGAGTGGGTAGTCAGTCTCAATAGCAGTCTCCTAGTGAAAAGTACTCAGTCTCAATACAATTCAGTCATCCAACCATTTAACACTGTAATGTATGAGTTTAATTTTCTCAGATTTCTGTGGATGCCTACTCTCCCGCAACCACCCTGTTATCTCTGCCCCTGATTCAGTAAATGACTCTCTTGTTAGAGGAGTAACTCCTTTTTTTGTTGCCTGCAGATGATGAAGAGGTCTCCATCAGTGCGGATCCTGAGCCAGCTGACGTGCAGGAAAGCCCTATGAACAACACCCCAGAGGAAAGCCTCGGTGAGCCTCCATGCACCAGCACAGTGACCTCAGAAAGTGCAGCTCCAGAGCAGCTAAATGGATGCAATGTGAACAGTGTCAATGTCGATAGCCCTGGGGCTGTCAGATCACCTTGGGAAGTCAACCATGACAGCTTAAATGAAGAGCTAGCAGGAAATGGGGAGGTTGATGCCGTGCCAGCAGATGCTACTGAGCCTTTGGAATCCATCCCAGGAGAAGTGCTGCCTTCCCTGAGTGCCATGGACCTCACTGAGCAATTGGCTCTGATGGCTTGCACTTCTCCTCCTGAGACTGAAGTTAGGGAAAATAACGAAATCAATTCTGTTACTCAGGGAGATGATGAAATCTTAGAAGCCCTAGATATCGAGGAGGTGAGTGCAGATGTTCAAGCTGTCAAGGACGTAGAGAAGAGTCAGGATGAGGAAGGGGCTGCAGCCCAGGAGGAGGAAGACAACAAGCTGCAGTTAAGAACCACAATGAAGAGGAAAAATCGGCCGTGCTCCCTGCCTGTTTCTGAACTTGAAACCGTGATTGCTTCAGCTTGCGGTGAGCCAGAAACCCCTCGTACGCACTACATCCGGATCCACAATCTGCTCCACAGTCTTCCCTCAGCACAGATGAGCAGTGATGGGGAGGAGGAGCAGGGTGGCGGGGGTGAGAATGATGAAGAGTCGACAGTCAAGGACGTATCAGAGAAAGATGTGGTGAGTGAGACTGAGACGGTGGCAGCGGACCCCCCTCCTGAAAATGAAGCGGAAGGAAATTTCAGCCGGGGCACCATGCCCCGCAGCACCTCCGTTGAACACCTCTCAGATTTAAATGGACAGCTACTGGATGGGGAACATATCAGGACAGAGAGTGAGAGTGAATTGAGTCCCCGGCTGAATGGGGACCACGAGTGTGATACGTGCGACACCTCCTGCTACAGTCCATCCTGCTACAGCACCTCATGTTACAGCACTTCCTGTTACAGCACCTCATGTTACAGCACTTCCTGTTACGACAGTAACAATCGCTTTTCCAGCCATACCCGTTTCTCTTCTGTTGACAGCGCAAAGATTTCTGAGAGCACGGTCTTTTCCTCGCAGGATGATGAGGAAGAGGAAAACAGTGCTTTTGAGTCAGTGCCAGATTCAGTGCAAAGCCCTGAACTGGAAAGGGAGCAAGTGGATGGCTCCGCCCAGTGGCCAGATGAACTCCTAGCTCATGGTGGAAATCCACAAAGAGGCACAGAAAACCTAGACACCCCAGTAGCAGGTCCAAGCAGCAGAAGAGAAGGTTAGAACCTGAGAATCAATACCCTGAACAACCTTGATCATCTGGATGTCACAGAGGACATCAGATAATCGAGGTTGCAGAGAAGCAAGGGAGTTCACAGTGCCATTAACAGATATGTTGGAAATGTGACCTGTGCCAGGTATCAGAGAGGGTTGGATAACTGAGACTGTACGGAAAAAAAAAATCATAAAATGAGTATTTATATAATCAGTTCCTTTTAGATATTATAATAATTTATATTAATGAATCAAGTTGAGCCCAAGTAGCCACATAACAGATGAAAATTAGGAACACCAATCTACCAATCTGTCCCTTTCTTCCTGGGGATCTTTTGGTATAACAAATCTGATGTGCTACCATGTGTTTTACAAGCAATGAAGAAGACCTGTGTGTGCACATGAACAGGCAGATTCTCCTCCTGAGACTGAAGTTCCTCTTGAGACTGATATTCCAGTTTGCTGAGGGTCTGGCTCAGCATGTGTATGTTTGTTATATCTGTGCACGTCCATATACATAAATAAGTGTCAGTATTTTCTAGTTATGATTGAAGCCAACTTCTTGTAACATGCCCAGTTTTCTAGGGCTGGCCATTGAAATTCACCAAAATTAGATTTCACAGGTTGCAGAACATCCCAGCCTAGATTTTTCCCCCCTTGGGTGCTTGAGGAGCATAAATATATCAAATGCAGTTTCCATCTCCATATCCTTCTCTACAGTATATTGCTTAGAGAGGTACTGTTGTCTGTTTTCATAGTTGTTTAATTATATTTTTGTCTGAACCTTTAAATGCCTTGTGCTAAATTCATCCCAAGTGTTAACTCATTTTCCTTCAGTGCAGTTACAGTAGTGATGAATTTGGTCTTTTGTCTCTTCTTCAGCTGTTCACTGTTTTTTTTTCAGATAGACAAGGTAAAGGCATAGCTCCTCAGCTACAGCCAGGGAGTATTCACCAAAGTCAAAGGAGAGAGGTTGCAAAGGTAGCCTTTGTATTCTCCAGGCCCAAGATAGCTGCCCCTTAATTTGAGATACACCAACTCAAAGTGTCTCTGAGAGAGTAACATAGCTGACAAAGACCCCAACCATGCTTCCTACCATCCAGTCACACCCCAGCTACAACAGAACCATTATGCTACCAGATGATCTCCTTACATTGGAGTCTTCCAGCTGGGGCTGGATATACCAGACAAGGGCACATTTATATATTGCAGACCATTAATTATTTTATCTGTAGTGTGCAGGATGTATCTCAAAAAGTAAAAATTCCAAGAACTATACAGTAATAGAGACAAGAGGAACACCCAGGAATGGGGTCATTCTTAGCTGCAGATGAGGCATTTTTTGAATACAGATGGTATTTATGTGTTCGTGTGTGCATGTGCATCCCTTTTTGTTTGTTTATTTAAGGTTGTGTGTGTGCATACAAAGCAAGATAAAACAGAGTTTGTGTCCTATAGTAAATGGATTCATTGGTGCTCCGATATGCTGTTTCAAGTTTGGGGGGGGTGGCCCTGTGGTATATTTAAAGGGCATTGTAGAATGTTCATCATAGCTCTGCATTCACTAGTAGAGAACAAATACATGAGAGAGACAGGATGAATGGTTAGTTCAAAGTATTTTTTTTATATTGGCTCAGATGTTTCAACAGTTGATTACATTGTTTCATTTATTTGGTGGCTATTACAAGTACAGTAGATATGGTCACCTCCATCCATCCAGGTGACTGACACTACTATGCTTCAACTGGCTTGGCGTAACTAACTTGACTAGGGGGAGTCAATTGTGGCGAGGTAAGTAAAGAAATGTAGATAGATAATCTGGTAGTTGGTGACGTAACTGTAGTAACAACATATTTTAAACCTACCACATATTTATTTACAGCACAGAATAATATCTTAAAATAATTCTATCTTCTGTACAAAGAAGGGGCACATGCAACTGTGAGATGGGTCCATGCACACATTAGCGACTTTAATTAAGACATTTAGGAGGGCTGTGATATCACCAGAGAACACAGGAGTGTGTGTATTTTTCTATCTAATTTTATCATGTCATTTTTCATACTATTCGATGTTGCAAAATTTTTACAAGAATAACACCTGCGTAAATTCATACATAAAATAGCTTTCTGCCTTTCCTTTTAATATTTATAGTCTGTCAATTACCTGTTAAAATAAAAAAGATGTTTAAGATAACTTTACTTTTAATGTGCAGATTGATGACAAGATATACAAATAAAAAAAAAATAACTCGGTATTAGCATCCCAAGATTTTTACCTTAAAGGCAGCTAAGCCAGTCAGCCTATATGGAATTTAGATGACTGGTGTAGTCCTGTCTTATTTTTCTTTTAAAATATATTTATATAATTTTCTGGTGATGTCATGGCCATTAACATTACTTTTTTGTTTTTTAACTTACATGGGTCTCAGTTGTGTTTTATACATACCATGTAATATATGGTCAGGTTTTAGTAGACAACCATTGTCATACAGCTTGAAAAAGCAGTCAGCAGTTGGGATAATAATTCTGAATCTCCCAGATTTTAAAAAAGGACAGGATTGGAGTAAATATTCACTGAACTCTAGAACCCAGGACTTTCTCAGTTATGGGTTCCCCATGCTCACCTTCAGTTCTAACAAAAGCAATGCTTCCTCCCCACAATGAGTTTGTAGTTCCTCAAGGGGTTTTGGGTCAAATTTTAAATGCTGAGTGAATCTTAAGTAGCATGCGCACATGATCAGAACACTAGGATGAAAATACAAATAGATTTAATTTATTTTTCACTCAAAAAAAAAAAAATCTCCTTCTGCCCCTGTCTATTGTATGTCTCATCCTCTTCTTCCTCTGCTACTACTTCTTCTTCTTCCCTTTCTGTATCTCAAGTCTCCCTCTTCTTTATCTCAGGTCCCTTCCTGTGTCTTACTATCTTTGCCCTCTTCCCTACCCCCACTGTCTCCTAAGTGTTTCTGGTCCTTTCCTCATTACCCTACCTACCACTGCAACTTGATGGTTTGAATTTTGAACTGTTCAGAGTCTTGTTTTCAAGCCTCAAGAAGAATGGCTCCCTGCATGGCAGGGGCTGCAAAATCCTGGTGCTCCAGTTCTTGCACACGCATGCACATGCATGCGCACGGACCCATGTGTGCACACACAGATTTGCTCCAAAGAAAGTTTTCATAATAGCAAACAAAGCTTCAGAAAGTGGCACTAAGCCACTCAGAGTCAGACTGAGCAAATCCAAAATTAGACCCAGGATTATGCATGCTCCTTCCAGTGTCCTGCAGGAACTTCCGTTTGATAGTGCTTATAAAGTACTTCTCAGAGATCAAGCCTGATTCTCCTTTCACTTACACTGGGGTCAATCTAGAGTAAATGAGACCAGGATCTGGCCCATTTCTTACTGTGTATTCAAGGCCAAGAACCTTGACTGCATTATTTTAATAATTCCTTGCCATGTAAGTTGTTATTACGGTAGTGTCAGGAAATATGAATAACTCAAGCAGCTAATGCCCCAGCCTGCTGCCTACCCTCTTTTTTATTTAAAAAAAAAAAAAGCTTTTAGTCTCTTGTTTTACAGTAGTGCATTTTAAACCACTTTGCTAAAACAATGAATGACTATGAATATCTTGAATATCTTGTCCTTAGGTGATTGTCCTTTACTCCATAATTCTCAGCCAGTCAGCCAGCTTCCTTCCCTGAGGCCTGATCACCATCACTATCCAACTATCGATGAGCCTCTTCCACCAAGTAAGCTTTAGTTTTTTTAATTTCTTTTTTCAAACTTTCCTGTTAATCTAAACAGCATACAGGTCAGTATGTCTTTCTTAACAACCCATCTTTCCTTGCAATCCTGCCCCCGCTGCATCCTAAACCCAATTAATCAATCTGAGCTTTTATTACATGGAATTGGTCCCTATTTTAGAGGTAGGGATGTTACGTCAGGCAAGTCATTTTATTGTACTGCATCTCTCTTTGCCCGTCAACACAAACGGGTAATAATACTTCCCAGTCTCACAGGTACATTGTGAGACTGAACTAGTGAATATTTGTAAAGTGTTTTGAGGTCCTCGGGTACAAGGCTCTCAGGCAAAGTATTCTTTAAAGTTTGCCTTTCAGTTGTTGTATGCCTAATGTCAGCTTCAAAGAGTGTTTTGGATGCTTTTTCTGTCCTGTCTATAGGGACCTACTTTACTCATGGCCAGACAAAGGGATTTGCATGGCTTGGTCGTGGCATGAAGAGCCAATTTCATGGGCATTTCCTGGCAGCCCCGCCCCTTGATTGGCAGATAGGCTCTGGGGTGGGAATGAGGGAGGAGGAGGCAGCTGCCATCTTGGCTGCTGGTGGCTGCCCTTTGTGCAACCTTGTGCCTTGCCACTGATTAGCGGGGAGGTCGGGGGGGGCGGGAGGAGGGACAAGGGGGGGGCACCATCTTGGCTGCTGGCTGCCCTTTGTGCTACCCCACCAGCCAGCAACTTCCCCTCCCAAACAGGCTGCAAGGCAGCAAGGAATACTGGCTCCCACTAGGGAGCCAGCATTTTTATTTTATTAGGTTTTTTGTAATTGGTTTTGTGGACAATTGCAGCTTTTGTGGTTTCTGCAAAAGCCGCAAAATTGTAAATTAAGTAAATCCCTACCTATCAACCTTACTTGTAGTGGGGGAACAGCCCCAACAAAGTGAAAATTACCTTTTGAAAATCAATGGAGGTATCAATAGCAAATGAAAGTGATAATAGTGGAAGACAGGGAGAAGGTAGCTCACAATCTAGATTATTTAACACTAACTGCATTAGATAATGAATTGAGTTCCATATAGCAGGATTACACTGGACATCACAATCTATACGTATAGATGGGTGAGGGCTGCCACTCAGAAGCAAAATAATGAGCTAATGGACTAGTAGCTTTCTTCATCCACTTGTTTTTTTATGCTTCTGTACTGATACACATCTGGACTTTACTGGGTAAAATGTCATCACTTCTTAGAGGAATGCTCAGCTTTTTGCATTAGCATTAATCAGCCAGCAGAGTGCACTGTCTGTCCTGCAACACTATCACCTCTCAAATGTCATACATGATTTAATAGTGTGAACTTCTCAGCACTTTAAGAAGAAACTAGGCTTAAAAATAAGCCATTTACTTTTTTCTAAACCTAAATACAAACAGTTATTTGGCCTACTGTGTCCATAATAAATAATTCATCATTTACCAACCAAGTTGTCAGTACTCCATAAACTGAGAATCGTCTTGGGTGCCGGCATTGGTTACGAAGTAGAAATGAATGATTCTACTCCTCTCTACTACATGAAGGGTTATTAAGGTCACCCTGTGGTCTGCCAGTGAATGATGAAATAGTAAGTTACCCGTGCAAGAGGCAAATATTTCTCTTCCTCCTAATCTTACTTCACTGCTTTTTGAATGGGAGAAGTCTTTCACTATGATTGTTGATACTTACAAACAAAGCTTACCCAAAATCTGTATACTAGTTAGAGACATTCAAGTTTTCTTCTATGGATGGTTAATACATTCCACCACTTTAACATCTTCAAAAGACAAATATTTTTAGTGTTGATCTTAATGCAGGCAGTTATGATAGGGTTTAATCTACACAAAAAAGAGTACAATTACGTGATCTTAGAGTCATATCTATTTATCTGTTTTTAGTTTAGTATAGGTATGTAACGTTGTAATAAAAGTGGAGTGCATGCTACCTGAATACATCTATTTTATAAAATAAATCTCATACAGAAGCTGAGTGAGAAATAAGCTATACATTTTAAATCATGCAGGGACACTAGCATCTGTCCACTGTTATGATTGAAGATAAGTTACTATACAGGCACAATCTTGACCATTAGGGGTGTGTGAAATGGGCCATATTCAATTTGGATTCGGCCCGAATCAGGGACAGTCATTTGATTCATTGATTCAGATCACCGTCCCTGATTCAAGTCGGCCTAATCCGAATCTGAAGATTCAATGCTGATTCAGAGAATCAGCGATTTGGCCATAGACACAGCTTTAAATGTTTTTTCAACATAGCTCAAGGTATCAGGCATCGCTCATGAATGCTGAGATGCTGGGGCAGATGGAGCATCCCACAGGAACACGGGGGAGCTCCCCCCCACCCCCCAAGTGCTCAGTGGCAAACTCATGTCCACCGCTGAGTGTTCTGGGGGCCCCCCTGGCTCAGCGATCAGCCATGTGGTGACCCCGGGTGCCCCCCCAGACCCAGGAGGCACCAGTTGCCAAACCGGGGGGGCACAGAGGGGCCCTCCTGTGTGCTCCTCTGCGTTCCCCAGTGGACCCAGAAGTGCTTCTGCTCCACTTCCGGATCTGCTGCTGAGCGCACTGGAGACCCCCCCCACCCCCTGCGCTCCTGTGGGATGCTCTATCCGCCCCAGCATCACAGCTTTCACGAGCCACCTGGTACCTTGAGGTATGTAGAAAAAACAGTTAAAGCTGTGCCTATGTCCAAATCGTCAAATCTCTCCGAATCGATTTGGAGGGTTCCTGTTCGATTTGGAGAGATTAAAGGATCTCCGGATTCAATTCCAATTCGGAGATTTGATCGCCAAAACAGGCCGAATCTCTGTTGAATCGAACCAGTGACCAAAGTTTCGCACAGCCCTATTGACCATGCCTTAACTCCCTTGCCAAAGTCCATGCTTCTGCTACTTTACATAACAAATCTTAGCCCAAGGTAGAAAGTTTTAAAAAATATATTTTCTAAGGCATGTACATTTAACAGATGAAGTGGATTTCTCCTTTCAGTGATTTTCTTAATGGTTTTGTTTCACCTTAGCCCTAAAGCTATATGGCCTAAACATTTATTTTATTCTGACAGTCTTGGCTAGAAATTTTATTTTGGGATCATATAGATTTTAACAGAATTTTGCATATACACAGTGAAGTTGTGTGATGAATGCAAGATTCAAAAGCACACACCAGGTTGATGGGTGCTTTGTAGCATTTATATGGTCCAGTGACAGTGTTAATAGACACATCACAATGTATGTATGCATGCGTGTGGTTTTTTAAAGGGTGGGAATGGTATACAACTCAGGTTAGGAAATATATTTGGTCTCGAGCTGTCCTAATCCAAAGGTTAATTTAAGGCAGGGAAAGGAAGAGGTGCAAGGAGTTTTTGTCTCTGGAGGATTGTGGATGTGCCAGGGACTCATCTGGCTTGTTATTAAGGCCAGCCATAACATATGAGCTAACCCAAGGACCATCTGGAGTGCAGTATACTGTAGCATCTCTCTGTCATCTCCCAGAGATACAATTCTGGAGTGTATAAAGGAGGTTAGTATAGGTCCACTGTCTTACGCTGCCTAGAGAAACTCACAGCTGAGGGGGTTTTTTATGGATCCTTTTTGCCACTGGAGTTGCTTAAAGGGCTGTAATTCAGGGTCCTCTGTCTGTATTAGTTCATATGTCAATCTGTCCATTTATCTGTGCAACTCCCCATTTGTCTTGCTGCAAATCCTGTACAATATGCAGTTTCAAACACTCGTTCCCTGGAGTGTGGATAATACTATGTGGGAAGGAAATAAATACACCCAAAACCTGCATATCCTGCCATGGCGCACACAGTAGTGTGCGCCATGGTTTGCAGATCATCGAGTGTTTCCAGCTGGCCCAGGAAAGACCAGCTGTTCTTAGTATCCCTCACATGTGACTTTCAGTAGTGCAGAAGTGCCACTGCAGCTAAGGAACACTCAAACAAGATTGGTTGTTTCAGGAGCTGTGACCACAAAGCACAGGTATCCATGCATTCTAGTATACAAGCAGCCTCCCAGTAGTGCCTTGCATATATATGTAAGCAAGAAATGCTGACAGCAGGACATCCAGCCCTGGGGCTGGCAAAGCACAGCCACTTGCCCCATCTGTGCTGTTCCTACCCCTAGCCCAGACCAGGCTATTTTTAGCCCCTCAGCCCCTACCCTGGGCCCACTAACCTCCACCCAGACCAATTAATTCCTACATGGACATTTCAGCTCCCCCCTATCCTGCCAAGCTGCCTCCCTATCCCAAGTTACTTATCTGCCTGATTGGGCAGATTGTCCCAGCCCCAATCCCTTCCTTGCTGTGGGGGCATTGATCTGCCCCCCGTCCACGCCCCTTCCCTCCCCCCTCTGCCCACCACAACAGACTTACCAGCTGGAGGCAGCTGTGTCCAGCATGGTCAAGTACTCCTGCCTGTTTAGTCTATGGCCAAATCTCCGAATCAGTGCCGAATCTCCAGATTAGAATCAGCCGAATTGAATCGGGACAGTGATTTGAATCACTGAATCAAATCACTATCCCTCCAAATCGGCCGAATCTGAATCTTAAGCAAATACTTGCTCCTTCGTACAGGCCTAGTGTTTGACTGTAATACTTTCTGCTTAGACATTGTGTTACCATGCATATGACCGCAGGCACATTGTTGCATACTCTCTTCAGGCAGTGTTGTGCATGGTTGGGTTCGCGGGGAGACACCTGACTTAGTCTATACTGTGTGATAGTGTTTTTCCTGAGGCATGAACATATGTGTGTTTGGGTAATTGTAGAGGAAAGCAGGAATACTTTGTGTGAGCCTATATTTCTTAGTATTGCCCAACAGTCCCTGACCAGCACCTTTTGAGAGTGACTCTAAGCTGGCTTGAATGGAGGGCACGTCATTGCCTAGGATCCATTAAATATCCATTGAATTCTGATTTGGTTCAGCTTGTCACTTCCATGGTCCAGCTTGGGGTGCTGGTTGCTGGCTGGCCTTTGCCTTTTCTCTGCAGTTTCTCATTATTTTGTATTTTGGACATTATCTTCACCAAACCTTGTTCTTGTGCTTGGAACATCAAAGGGCTGACAGGCAGACGGGGGTGGGGAAGTATACAGGAATTAAGCTGTGAGAGGCATAGAAAGCATTGTCCCTAAGACTATGCAATTGTACAGTGATTTTCAAATGGGAATATGCATACCTCTGGAGGTATTGTGCCATTTTGCCAAGGGGTACATGTCTAAATTTTAATAATGATGGTGGAGGTTCTGATTGGTCAGTGTGCAGTGAGTAATAATCATGCAGACACATGTTGGATGCAGTGGGTACGAGCACCAGTATTTTGCAGGTAAAGGGTACACGGCCAAAAAAACCCACTGCAGTAGAAGACACAGTATGTGTTTGTGTGTGCACATGTGCGTGCATGCATGTAAAACCAGTTTAAACAAAAACTGTGCGTGTGCTTATAGCCCTTTCTATTATGGAACCTTTAGAGAGGAAAAGGACACAAACCCCCACCACCAAAGTCCACCTTTTCAGGTGCCTGAAACATGAACAGCCTGTAGAGCAGGGGTGCGACTCGTGGGCCGGATGCAGCCTGCCAAGCTATTCCGGCCCATGGGGCCCCTAAAAAATTGAGAAAATTAATATTTATCTGCCCCTGGCTGCCTATCTTGTGGCCCTCGATGGCTTGCCAAAACTCGGTAAGTGGCCTTCCATCCAAAATAATTGCCCACCCCTGCTGTAGAGGCTAGACAAGGAGCCAAGTGGATACACCAAGGCAACCAGCTGCAGGCCCAGGGACAGCCTACACAGCCTGTCTGGGACTGAAACTCAGCTGAGGCAAGGATATTGTTCAGGGAAAGGGAGTTGGCTGCTGAGAGTGGCTTCTAAATACAGGCTGGGAAAACACAGTTGCTCTTGGAAGGTAGGAGAGAAGGTGCACAAAGAACCCAGGTTCTTTCCAGCTGATCATTGAGACGCAGACAAAAAAATTGAGTCAACTGCCTTACCACTCTTGGAGAGGGGCTATGCACACAGTGTGTGTGTGTGTGTGTAATATAAAAAATACAATATTGTGTACATGTATAATGCATAGTTGATATGCCATCATTAGGGATCTTGGTTTCCTCTGTTAAAAAATCCAAAATAATCTGATGAACACCCCCAAAATCTGTGTTTATCCGCAATTTAAATGAAACACCACTATATATAGAAGTATTAGTCAAATACAACATTTTTTTTATATATTTATCAGTTTAAAGCAATTTGGAAACATAACAATGCCTCAGTCATTATAATAAAATAAATTCTAAATACTTATATATTTTGCCATTTGATTTTTGTTTTTTATCATGGAAAACCAGAGCTCCCTCTGCCCTTTTCACCCGCCAGGACACAGGTCCAGCTGCATCTGTCCCATCAGGTGTTTTGTGGTACTGAGCAGCCCTGACATGCTGGTACCCCTCACTGCCAAGCCAAACTCCCCCCAGTCCTGCCAGTGCCCCTCACTCCCTTCCTGTAGCCCCTGCCTATCCCCTACTCTCTCCCTCCTGGCAGCAGCTCCCCCCCTACACCAGAACACGGGTCCAACTGTGGTTGTCCCCCACCCCCTTGCTTTGTGGTGCTGTGCAGCTGTGACATGCTGATTCCCTGCCCATGCCATTGCCCATCACTCCCAAGCCACAGCGCTCGCCCACCTCCCCGAGTTCTGCCATTTTCCCTGTGTATCCCACATCTTGCTGTTCCCTGGCCAAGGCAAGCCTGGCAGCAGGCAAGCCAGTGGGGAGGCAGAAGGGGTAGGAGTGCAATCCCCAGTCAATGGGGGCTAAAAGGCAGCTGGGGCAGACCCACTTGGTCCTGTGGGTGGCCCCTGCTGTTTCCCCATCCTGCTGCCCCTCCCTCTTTCCCCCACTCCTTCTCCCAGCAAGTCCCTGGGCCACTGCAATCCCCACCCCACGACCCCTGCTCCACTGCTCCTGGGCGCTCACTGCCCAAATGGTTCCAGATGGCAGCAGTGGGTGCTGCATGTCCTGGCAGAGCAGGGTTGCCCCTGACAGCTGCAGCCTCATTGCAGTTCTAGCCAGCCCCTGAGTACTGCCGAGGGCCACCACTGCCTGTCCCCACTGCAGATCCCAGAGCCGCTCTGCCAGGATGAACCGCGCTAGCCCAGCCCAGCCCATGCACTGTCAGTCCTGAGCACTTCGACATGCCTACCACCTGGAACCATCTGGGCAGTGAGTTCCTGGGAGCAGCAAGATGGGGTAGTAGGGTGGGGACTATGGCAGGCTGTGGACTTGCATGTGGGCAACAGGCAGGCAACAGCAGTCCCCCCTTGGCAGGGGCTAAAAGCTGGCAGGGGCAGACCTACCTGGTCCCCCAGGTGGTCCCTTCTGCATCCCCCTTCTACTTCCTCTCGTCTTCTCTCTCCCCTCCCCCATCCTGCTTGCCCTGCCTGTCACCAGGTTTCCTTTCCCCACCATTTCCCTGCAGGGCCAGTAGCAGGCCCCTAAACCCATTAAATAATTCCCAGGGGCTGCACAGGAACCCTTTTTGCTAGCTGCTCATTGCAGGCTGGAACTCTGTCAGCCTGCGGAGAGCTGTTTGCAAAGGGGGAAGCCTGTGGTTTCCCACTTCAAGGAGGAAAATCCACATTTTTCACCTTTAAGGGGAAAATCTGCAGGAAACAGAAAACCTGGATCCCTGGTTATCAGCTGATATATTTTGTAACCAAATATATAGGTAACAAATTAAATTTATACCATTTGACTCAAGAAGTGCTAAGTGCTTTAAAGTAAAATTCAGCTCACTCACTCCTTAACTTTCCTTTTGCTCCTAGCAGTTTTCCTAGCATTATCACTGCTGCTGATGCATTTAAACACCAACTCATTTCACACAGACCAACAAGCAGCTATCAGGTGGACAGAGCATTGGTTATGCTCACGGCCAACTCGTACATAGTGGCAATTGGGAGCATAGTGGTACCAGGCTCGATATGATGCTGTCAACTTCCACAGCTATCTAATTCTTAGCAGATTTTTAAAAAAGCGTGTTCACAGATTTCTGCAAATATGTCAAATCAGGCTGTGACAAGTTTTAGGACTTTAGACTGCACATTTTATTATCCCTCTAAAAGCTGCTATATGTATAACAGAAGAACACATCACAGTTATCATGAAATATAACAAAAAAAGTGAAGATAGGAGTTGCTAAGGTTGATCAGATCATTGGTCCACCAACTGTAGCATCCTGCTTAATCAGTGGCTAGTTTCTCATAACTATCCCATCCACAATTTGTCCAGTGCTGTTTATGGGGGTTGTATGAGGGAATTCTTACTTTTTGAAGCATGCAATTTGATTGCTCGGTTCAGGAAGCAAAAGCGTAAATGTTATTGATGATCACAAAATTATCTAAGCCTCTTTAAGAGTAAAACCACTGTTGTTTCACTCATAATTGATGGCCAGCAGTAGTGAACACCACAGGTTGATTATGGATTGTATGTGAAGAAATGTTTTATGTATATGACGATAGTACATATATATATGTATACACACACACACACACATTATGCACATGCACACACAATATATGTGTTCATGTGATTGTCACCAACAACAAGCTTTTCTGAAATTCTCAAACCGATGGTTTTATCTTTCCCTTTTTTTCCTAATACCAGACTGGGAAGCTCGAATAGACAGCCATGGAAGGGTATTCTATGTAGATCACGTTAATCGAACCACAACATGGCAGCGTCCCACTGCAGCAGCCACTCCAGATGGAATACACAGATCTGGTTCAGTCCAGCAAATGGAGCAGCTAAATCGGCGGTGAGTAATTCTGGACCAAAACCCTGAAACAACAATATCAAAAAATGTCCCAGTCATGAGTAAATTTTTTTCTAATATTATTCCAAGCATCTGAGCCTCCATGTATCTTTAAATCTCCCAAATTATGGACAAATGAACAAATTATCCTGAGTTAAAAGGGGTAGAGACTTACCGCATATCAGCTGCTTTGTGATAATTGTATTGTTTGTCTGCTTCCACTTGCTATGGGAGACGAATAAACACAGGTAACAATTATAGTGGAGTCGCTGATGTGTGTTAAGTCCCTCCCTTTTCTCTTAATTTAGTAGAAATTGCTTGTTTGTCCCTGGTCTCAATATAAATAAGCTAAAATATATCTGAAGTTACAGTTTTTGATCACATTAAGCAGGGCAGCACCTCCTGTTAGTGAATGACAATATTCTTGCCTAAAAAAGTGATAGGGTCAAGCATAAGGAAGTTGAGACAGTTTTCAGTGCTACTTTCAGGTTGGTTTAACAAAATGTAAACTACTATGTCGTTTAGATATTATTTCTTTTATATTGGCATAAGAATGTGTGGTATGTAACAACAGGACTCTTTTTAGAAAAAAACAAAGACTAAAGAGATTATAACTAAAAAGATATGATCTGCAGCTAGTATAGTGACATGTGCCTGTTAACATTGGTACCCTTTGAAGCAGTGCTGGGTTTGGAGAAGCAATCCGAGTAGGTAGAAAGGCAGAGAACTTAATGTACAAAAACTGGGAGATTATTTTGAGCAGGTGAAGAGCAGAAGAAAGCAGAAGAAAGTATTTTGAGCAGAAGAAAGTAAAAAGTTGGCTGGGAGAGATGTGATAGGCCGGCAATGGGAGGAAGTTTAAGGTAACATTGGAAGACAGTGCAGAAGGATGGAGGGGTGAAGAACTTGGTAAACACAGAGTGTAGAAGAACTTTGAGGGATGTCTGTATTGTGTCAAACGATGGCAGGGGACAACATCCTACCTGCTTGTTCCTGCTCCATGCACAGCACATCCTGAAAGAAATGTCATGTAGTTGCCATTAGAATAGCACTGAATATGCCCTATGATGAGCATATCCAAGACTGAGAGCCCAAGAGTGGCAACAGACAACAAACAGCTACATAACATTTGTTGGGGTTCAGTGTGCTCAGAGAGGGATTGTAGGCATGCCCTGAAAGTCAAACAAGGTTTGCCCAAACTATATCTGGTAGAATACCACCTCTGCTGCAGGTTGGGTGTTACTGGTGGTCTTGCACTTGGAATTACCAGGTCCTAACTCCAGTCAGTAGTGTAACCAAGGTAGGTTAACTGGGGCAACAGCCCCAGCAGAAAGTTACTTGCAGGGGGAGGGAAGAAAGGAATGGAAGAATAACAGCTGGGCGGTTGTGGGCTGGCTTCACCACTAGAAGCCAGGAGCCAGCGCCGCAACATACAGCACTGCTGCCCAGGGCGCCAAGCTGCCCTGTTAAGCCTCTGGCTCTAGTGGTCCCCTGAGTTGTGCACCTCACAGGTTGGGAAGTATCAGCACACAGCAGCTGACACCAGCAGCGCTAACAGGCTCTTATACTGTATTAATTTAGACTTGTTTAAAGATGAGCATTGATGAGCATCCCAGTGAAAGACAATGCAAAATCTTTTAAGCAGCAAGATGAGCCCGTAGCACTTCCTTGAACTGAATCCCAAGGGAGGCAGGCAGAATCGAAAAGAGAGGAGATCTTGCTAACTGTTTATCTCTGAGCACAATATCTGTGTTTGACTGTTGTCCATACAGATTTCTTCATAATTGTCTTGGCCTGCTTGTATTTTAGATTCTGTTGACTAGAGAAGAGTGGAGGAAACAAAGGGAGATAAGCAAAAATCTTCCCCAGTTACTTCTGAAAAAGTTTTCACAACCTGTGTCCCTGCTTACTATAATAATAAGGTTTCTTATTTAAACAAGCAAGACTGATTTTTTCCCTCTAATTATAGAGTTTAAAATGCCACGAAAGACAGATTTACTGATTTTCAGAATGCTAAAAGGAGAAAGAGAGAGACCTTCAAAGCTGCTTCTTTCTCTGACAGTAAAATAATCTGGGAGTTGCTAACTATATCCTTTGCAGGGAGAAGCAGGTCCCAGATGATAGCCACTGAGGAATTAGCTAGTTTCTTCAGGCCAACTTCCCAAAAATGCTTAGTGTGCAAATATATCACAACCACAAATGCATCCATGAGGAGCTGTTCTCCTTTTCTTTCCAGACTTCTCATGCTGGGGACAGAAGGCGCATTTCACTAGAAAACATGTTCTGATTTCATAGTAGAAAAAACTTGCTGTACTCTGTTTTCATTATATGTTTCTTCAGAATGTATCAAGCTATTAAACATTAACATATAAAAAGGCAGGTATTTCTAGAAGTTCTTTGCAGTAAAACTTCTCTGTAAAGAACTGCAGTGCATTAGAGATTTTGGTCATGCTTCAGTTCAACTTAATTGGCACCCAGGTAACCTGAGTTAAGTCACCTGGTTGTAATTTCCATTATAGACAGCTACTAGTGTTGGTGCCTTGAGGCTGAGCTCTAGAGTGAACCACACAAGTGATTGTGAATGTCCACACTGCCATTTACAGTCGTGATAGTTAACTCAGGTTAATGGGTAATTTGTTAGGTTGTGTTGATGTGCTGTGAATGACCTCCTCAGTTCCAACTGGGGCTGCCCAACTGGGAGCCCCCAGGCCACATGCAGTCCCCGAAATGTTAACCTGTAGCCCCCAGGCTCCCAGTCTGGGTGCTGCTCCCCCATCACTCTCCTACTGGTGCCACTGGAATTTCAGGGCTCCCCAGCCAGCCTCCTGTTTCCACAGCCTGCCCCTGCCTCTGGGGACGGGGCAGCATGGTGCAACATGTGTGGTCATGAGAACCTGTGGACCAGGGGTTCAGAGGAATGTGGAGCCCCCATGCAGCACTAGGGCACTGGTGCAACACAGTGGGGGGCAGCCAGTCACAGCATGACGTGGAGAGCCCTACACGCTGTAACATGCAGCCCAGGGGGCAAGCAACCCACTCAGCATACAGCCCAGGGGGCATGGGCCCCAAGGGCCATGAGGCAGGGGGCCTGCAACATTCAACTACTCAGAAGTTGGACAACCCTGGTTCAATGTCCATCCATTCCCCCCCCCCTCCCCCCCCCGTGTTGACAATAGTGGTCCACATCCTTTGTTGCTATCTGAGCATGAATTAGGATTTGAATTGTTAATGATTTAAGACAATGCAGCGTATTTTGTGGCTTTTGTATGTGGGTGTTATTTTTAGCAGCCAAACATCCAGACATGTAGTGAGACGTGCAGGGGATTTTCATTAGCAGCGTTTTTCTCCTCGCTTGATTCCCAGTGGAGACTAAGCACATTATGAACTGCGTAATTGTCGAATCCCATGGTTTCTTAGCACAAAAAAGCCATCTGGTAATTCTCTAATCTCTGCAAAAGAGCTCCATTAACTAAAAATGCTGAATAGACCACCAGGTCTTTAGGGGGACTCCTCTTGCCATGCTGACATTTGTGTGGGTAGTTATGGATATTTCCTAAGCTTCCAGCGAAAGGGATTCATACTGACCATTGCAACAAGCTTAACCAAGCCACATATTCCAGGATGGGAAGCAGTTCTAGTGTTAGCAACCTGGCATTTTATGGCCTAAAAAAATTAGCCTTCCCCTGAAACAGGATTCAAGATCAGTTCTAAAGAAAATTCAATCAATCTTGATTGCCGGTTTGGAGGAAATATATATTTTTTCTTAACTGGTATTTGAAAACCTCTACTTAGGCTGGAATATGATTTTACACAATAATTTAAATAATGTTTTGCCATTATGTTTCAAACTGCATTACCTGAAATAGTTTTCAGTGACTGTACTTGAAAATCATGTTTAGGCAAGGCAATAGCATGCAAAGACCTTGGCTGACAGAATTAAAATCAACCTGAACTTTTGCCCCAAACTCAAACAGAATAAAACTTGAAACCATTCTGTGGTTTGAAAAAGCAGAGTCGACTTTCTTTTCAAACAAATGAGTTCACTTTTCCACTTCCTGGTTTCATTTGGGCCAGGGAGTGGAAATGCCAAAATATCACAAGGAAGGCTTGGTATTTCCAGCCAAAACCGCAAAGTATTGGAAATATAACTGCAGGAAAGCCAGGAGTTGTGCATACTCCAGCCCAAGGGCCTAATTCTGTGTTCTTTGTGTACTCAGAGCTTCTCATTGGCTTTAATGGACTTTTTGGGTGTGAAAGGAATGCAGGATCAGGTCCCAGAGTTTGGATGTGCTGCAAATAAACAGCCCTACTTCAAACACAAAGAGTCTTCCTAGTGTGCTATAGTACTCCTTGTCTTTCTTTCATGTTAATGAAACATTAACAGCCATAGTTCATCCAGTTTTGCGACATGGTAACACTCCACTTCAATTCTGACTAAACCGTGTAACATTTGTGTAACCTGACTTGTCTTTACAAAAAAAAAAATCAATAGTAATAAATGACACAGTAAATAACAATAGGGCCCTTAAAACAGCATCTAACATGGTTTTTCCTTGACAGATCACTTGGTAAAGAGACTGAGATTTTCAAGGGTATTCCCATAACTTTTGCCCTTTCAGGGTTTTCTTCAGTTATTTTGACATTTTCTGGTATTTGTATAAGACTGTTTTATAGCATCAGAACTCAAAAAAGTAGCTGTTTGTTGGCATACAGCTAACACTACTGTGTAAAGTTTGCCAGCAGGGGATTTTCTACCATCTAATTACATTGAAACTAAAGTTAACATATATGTATGTGAAGGTTTATATATATAAACCTTCAAATATTTGAGCTACTTTTTCCTACTCTGCTTTTGCATGAGGGTGTTGTTAAATTCCTGCACTACTTCCACTAGAGTGGAAAGTTTACTCCGTTAGCCTGCAGTTAAGTGAATAAAAAATTAAAAAGCTTGTCATTAAAGTGGAGGGGGAAAGTTAAGGTAAATTAATGTTGCTGTGAAATCTACTATAATAACATACTGGTAAGGTACATGTTCATCTAAAAACAAAAAAATACTCCATTTCCTTTTTCTTTTTTTAACCCATGCTAACTATGTTATTTATTGAGCCATTAAAAGCTACCTTAAAGGAATACATTGAATACTGGGAGAAATTCAAACTATTGTGCAAGTCAAGCATAAATCCATTAAACTTTCAGCTGTTTTTCATAATGTAGAGGCACTATGCTCCCGGAGGTGCTTTCATTTGGATTGGATGTAAAACCAAGGTCTAAACTACTTGACTTCAAAGATCCCTGGTACATAGAGATATTAAAGCCAGATCCCTGACCAAATTAGACTTCGAAATAGAGTGCCCATTAAAAAATTGGCAAGAGAAGAGATGGAGGGAATGCTCTGTGAGAGCCTAGAGGCAAACAGATGAAGGATAGAAGGTAGCAAGCAAGAAAGTGAAAGATCACTGGACCTTTGGGCCAGATCACATACAGTCAGTGGACCCATGCTAGTTTCCACCTAGTGAGGATCTGACCCACTGTGGACACTGTGTGTTACTGAAAATCAAAAATTACAACATCACAGTAGGGTGAACATTAGTTAAAGTTAATTAACAAAGAAGAGGACTGTAACATTGTTTTAAAAAGTTTTCTATCAAATATCTTTGAGATCTTACCATAGTCTTATACAGCATCAGAAATCAAGTTTCAGTCTTGGTTATAAACTTAAAGATTAGACATGAGATTCTCTCTCCCCTCCAATATTCCTGTTTAACAACTGGCTCACCATTCCAGCGTCTATGCAATGCTATAAGAAATACAAATAATAATAATTATTAGTAAAAAAAATATTAATAGTAGTCCTTATGGACCCATCTTTCTGTAAAGTGTTGAATTTTACAATCCCCTTCCCCAAAAAGCACTGGAAGTTGAGGATGCAATATCTCACAGGATGATTACCTACTTGACTGGTTATCTTAACATGAGAAACTGGGATGTGATTCTTCACTATCTTGCACCTTGTGTAGACTTTTACCTGAAGGGAACTAGGTACATGATGCCACTATTCCAACCTAATGATTAGCACTATGTGTCAATGACTCCACAGATACAAGGCAGGAGGAGGGTCAGGCTCCTTGGTGCTTGACAGCTAATTCAGTTTTAGTTCTATATGAGTTGTTCAAAAATGCTCTTTTTCTGTGATTGTTAAGAAGAACTTAGAAAGTCGTTTCTGTGAATAGCAAAATGCTCTGTGCGATTCTTCCACTTTAACATTTATAGCTAAAGCATGTTGTTCCTTTTACTTAAAATACACAGGTACCAAAACATTCAGCGAACTATTGCGACAGAAAGGACAGAAGATGATGCTGTCACCAACAACAGGGTGGAAAGGCTCCCCACTGGAGGAGGAAGTGATTCTGAGGCAGAACCATCCCAGCCAACAGGTAGCATTCTGGGAAAGAGGCTGACTGGCCACAGGGTTTTCTCTCCTTTAATGTCTCCTTGAAGAGGAATGATAACATTAAGTTAACATGTAATCAGTGCTTTAAAAAAACATGATTAAATATTCAAGTTTGTCTATTGTTATTCTCTTGAATCTTTGCATCTTTTCTCCGAGAAATCAGTGTCTTAATCAATCACATTGGACACAATAGTCATCCATACCTTGCCTTCATTTATTATACAAATTATTGGATTCAGTTTAGGTGAAATGCTCCCGTGGGGGTAATTATATCAGATCCCACCTGCAAGTTGTTATCCGAAGTAGCAACTGTATTACATTACTGCTTATATTACTTGTAATATATTGGATTTAGTAGCATAACTAGAGTGGGGCAAACACCAACAGCCCATGGTTCCAATGTCAAGGGGATGCCAGAATGGTGGCCTATGGGGAGCCTATGCAGCAGTAGCAGGTGGGACGCAGAGATCCAGTGTTGTGGCAGCAGCAGCTGGGGGCTTTGAGATTCCCCCCACATTAAACTAATGGTCAAGTAAGACACTCTGGCACATGGCACTTCCCGTCCTTCTCCTCTCCCTCTAGCCCTCAGATTTGTTCAGGTGACAAGTTAAAATGTGATTCCAGTTTAAAAGCAGCAGCAGTACAAATTGAGACTAGAGTTTAAAATGTTTCATGTTCTTTCTGTTCTAAAATTAACAGTATGAGAGATTTCACATTCAGAACTTAGCTGACAGTATGGAACCAGATCTTCAATTGGAGTAAACTGGCACGATTGGCATGATTACTTTGATTAATAGACATCAATGAATGTGGTCCAGAGGTTATTGCCAATAGGAAAGCGTACAGCTCTTACTTCTATAGGTGCATTGGCTCTGCAAAACTAATCATAAGAAAAACATTTATCACTAAATGAGCAAATAAGACTAAACCACAAAGAGAGCAGATGTGTTGGGCAGGACAATGCTATTTTCATATTGTCACCTTGTAACAATAGATTCGCTTAATTCATAGAATCAAGCAGTGGGCACAGAGAGGGGATGTAAGAGGGTGTCAAGACAGTGGTGCTGGAGGAGCTTGCATTATTTTTAAGTTATTTTCTGCTGTGTTTATACATCACTTGCTTTGCTTTTGTTTTCAGAAATTAGGCGAGAAGGATCCCTTTCTCCAGTGAATTCTCAAAAAATCACCTTGCTCCTGCAGTCTCCAGCTGTGAAGTTCATTACCAACCCTGAATTTTTCACTGTGTTGCATGCAAACTATGTAAGGATCTATAATTCACTATGTCACACTCCTCTTTTCAAAATCACATGAGTACTTTTAGAAGCTTGCACAGTGACTGCTTAATAAATTACCTGGCTCAGGACTCAATTATTTTTCACACTGTGTAGTCCAGATTGTGTGTAGCATGGCCACACTACCCCACTGGCAACCTGTGGCTGCCTGTCATACAATGCAAGCTTGCTGCCACTGCTGATTTCCATTGAGAAGGGGCAGCACTCTCCCTTTATATATTTAACCAGTTCTACTATCTGGTTTTGGAGAAGGTGGAGTTATGGAGTTATAATGCAATCTTTATCTGACCCCTTTTGAAACATCTGGCTTAGGAATGCAGGAAGCCCTGTTGTGCTGTGCAGGGACAGAAAGAAGTTTTCTTGTACCCTGTGCTATTTGTGCACACAAATAACAGCTGGCCTTGCAGTGAGGAAATACAGACTAGAAATGAAGCAAGTCTTTCAGGCAAGATAAGAACTGAACTAAACCTTCAGGAAACCCAAACTACAAACTTTTTTAAAGTTTGGAAAAGTTTAGGTAGCTTTTTTCCCCTTACTGGAATAGAGTGTACTTCCAACCTGCAATTAGTCTGAAAACCAACACACAGGGGAGAAGTGTTAATTTCAGTCCAACTAGGTGCAGGAAGTCTGAGAAATCTCACAAGAAGATCCTGTTTTCCTGAGATTTCAATCCCAGTCCTCTACAATATCCAGATCTTGTTTGGATGGTATTTAGGTAAACATCCAGACATCATTCCTGAACCTCTTGGAGATCATTACTTCCTAGTACTGATGGGTTTTCTCTCCGAAGATGAAGGAAAGTAAAGACCTTCATGAGCTGTCTTGACACAAGTTGTAGTTGGTGCCAGGGATATCTCAGAGAAGGTTGAGTCCTAGCTTCCTATGTCACTAATATAACCAAGACCATGGAATGTCTTTATTTTGAGCTAACTCTGCTATGAGTGCCAGAATAGTCTGTCCAAACATCTGTCAAAGCAGTCATACAAATTCCACTTGTGTAAAAATAATGTAGCCCATAACTTTAGGTTTAACACAGATATAATATTTTAACCACAATCTCCAATTAAAATTTAGAAGCATTAATTATAGCAGTGAAATTTGAGGTGGAAAATATTATCCAGCAGTTAGAACTAAATGGAAAAGCTCTCATTTAATGGACATTTTATTTCCCTGAAGGGATAAAGCTATGAAATTCCACATTTCTCTGGTACTGCTAAGTGATACTGAAATGGCCTTTTATAGTGGATCATAATATAGCTTTGACTGTGGAGTCTGGTAGGACCTTAGTGATTGGTGGTCATAAAACTTTCTTGGATAGTAACATCTTCAGGGTGAGGATTACATGTGCTCCTGTGTTTTTACAGGTTGTAGTTCAGTGGGATTCCAATCTTGATAGGAATGCCTGCACATTTCCATATCAAAATGGTTTACTGCAATTTTGTGCTGAAAACAGCTTAAACATACAGATATCATGAAGTTTAAAATTATTAGCTCAGGTCACCCTTCTTTACATACGCATAAATTTGGAGTAAGTTCATTGACTTCATTGTAGAGTCTTCAGCAAGTTAATATGGCCCCCAAATAAGGTGGCATTGGCACAAAGTTTCATGGCCAGTGCAGACTGAAGCTGTACTGATTCTTTGCATGATTTGGTAACTTCCTTTGGAGTCCCCAAGAGCAGTAACATCCCTCTCAAAAAATCCCCAAAAGAAGTCAGGGTTTTCTGTCTTTGCCTGTCCTGCCTGGACAAACTTTCTGTCTTTACTGAAAGGTTCCAGAGTGCAACAATGAATTGTATTGCTCGTATCATTTACATGACCCTGTGCCAGCTTTGGGCCCTGCGTCTGCCAACAGATCAGCACAAACAAACCCTGCTGTTGGACCAGACCCTTCTTCTGTTGGATCCTTATTAATGTCCAATGTGAGATATACAACATTATACTGATCTTGTTTATTTGAACAGTGACATAAATGCATCTGTATATCAGACATTGTGGTACTGATAAAAAATAAGGCCAAGAATATTTTACATACACTGGAAAAAAATGCCAAAATTCCAAATTTTAAATTGGCTATGTCTAAGTATTCACTAAGAGTTGGGTTCAAAGTACATTACAACTAGTGGAAAGTTTGTATTGGCTTCAGCGAGAATTGTTTTGGTCCTTGTGGTCAGCGTTCCCTCTAGGCTGCACGTGTGCACAGCCGTGCACAATAAAAAATCATGCCGCACAATAACTTTTTAATGCTGCGCGCACAGTGGCATACCAGTGCAGGGGGGGGAGGTAGTAGGGGTTCATGGCTTCTGGGGCATTGGGCTGGGGGCATAGCCTAGCCAGTGCCACAGTAAGAGGGCGCCGATGCTCCCCGTGCTGCTGCCACTGGCTTCATGTCCGGCCACTTGCCACCCACCCCAACCTGGCCACAGGCTGCTGCAGGAGGGGGGAGGAGCGGGCACACTGAGCGGGCTTACCTGCGCACTCCCAGCCAGGATTGCTCACGGATCGCTAAACCTTAGAGGGAACATTGGTCATATGTCATACCAAGTAGCCAAAACTGTTGTTGTGGCTTTAGAACTGATTTCCATCTCCTGTGTTTCTCATACGTAGAGTGCCTATCGTGTCTTCACCAATAGCACCTGCTTGAAGCACATGATTCTGAAGATCCGTAGAGATGCGCGGAATTTTGAGCGCTATCAGCACAACAGGGACCTGGTAAATTTTATCAACATGTTTGCTGATACCCGACTAGAACTTCCACGGGGCTGGGAGATCAAAACCGACCAGCAGGGTAAGGTAAGGACACCAACAAAATTAATGTCTGGGTAAATTCCCATGGCCTGGATTACACTGCAAGTCAAACCCGATAATCATTAAGGATTGTTTCTGGATTTAAGATGTATGATTATCTGTTTTGAACATCATAAGCACAGAGCATGTCTTTCAGAGGATACTCATCCCCTCCAACTTTCTGTGGGAATTGCACAGGAGTCTGGCTTTTGTTCCTTCTCTACACTTTATCTCTAGATAATGTTGTCCACAAACATGAAATCAGCTACAATCTCTGCAGGTGTCCACAGATTTACTTCTCTATTCCTGACCTAATTCCTTTCATCCAAACTAAAAACCTAGCCTTTCTTCATGACATCTCCTCATGGATGACTGACTGTCAGACCAAGTTCAGTATGGGTCAAACATAGCTCTTACTCTTTTCTCTCATTTGTTTTTGCTATCTCCTTGATCACTGCATACTACTACCATCTTGCCTGTCACTTAGGCCAGTATCCTTAAACTGAGACCTCTCTCTAGGTCTGCACATCCAGATAGTGTCTCAGTCTTCCAGATTCTGTCTGCAAACCATCTGTAAGATGCAGCCTTCTCCGTTGTTTTCACACAGCTGAATTCCTTTCATCCAAGCTCTCAACATCTTGCACCTCAATTACTGCAACTTCCTGTTCTCCGGCCTTTAAAAATGCTATCTTGCTCCCCTCATATCAAAATATATCGTATTATTTTCCTAGCTTCTTGTTTTGAACACATCAGCGCTCTCTTGGCACATTTCTGCTGGCTCTCCTTTTTCTATCACATTTAGCATTACCAAGGTATCAGCACATTTAGGGCTCTTTGCAGTCTAATCCCATCTACCTTTCATCTCTCAGTAAGTATTGAAGTGTGATTTCTGCCTCCAATTTGATCTTGATGTCAGCCTTCATCATATACTTGTTAAATTTTTAACCAACACCATCATGCTTTCTTCTATGCAGTCACTCCCATGTACAATGAGCTCCCCATAATCATCCATAAAGCCACCATATTATTTAATTTCAAAACTCTCCTTAAAACTTTCATTTGCTGTAGTAGCTACAGAGAACTTGGCAACAAATAGGCTGCTTGTGTGCTGCTATTAGTTCTGTTGTGCTGACCAGTTTTCCTTCATTATTCCAATATTCTTTCCCATCTATCTGTAGCTGTCTATCATCTCTTGTTTTACACTTGGATTGCAATATATCTGGGGCACGGTTAGGGACCATCTTTTTGTTCTGTTGTTGTATAATGTGTCGTGCACTCAGACCTTCACCCATTACTACAGCTTCTAAACAGTACCCCAACAACAAAACTTAAAAAAAACCAGTAAGCACCCTAAATCATTCACTGACCTCACTGAGGGCTGAGGTTTCCAGTGTGTTCATAGCTCGAGTTGTACATTTCATCTAAAAATGAAACGCATGCACCCAAAGGGACCTGTGAGATGTTAAATTAAGGTGATGCTCATCTGAAACAGTGCAAAGAAAGTTGGCATGTAGCAAGGTAAAAAAAGAATTTTATTACATGAATACCATGTATAGTTTCACTAATAAACAACTAATTAAACTGTAAAGTGTGGAATGTCATGACTGTCAGATTTGACTAAGTCAGTCTGCATCTACAAGACTGTTGATTGACTCATGGGGCCACCAAGCATGAAGAGCATTGTTCCCTTCTGATTTGTATCCTGCTTCCATGACAGCTACTTCTTAGCCAGTACACAGGGAATTGAACCAAGACCCATCAGTGCTGAAGATACAAGCTCTTAAAGTCTCAGCTAGAAAGTCAGGACACTGTGGTTGTGGCTCATGGCTTCTGTGGGTTGAGCACAGAGAAGGGATTTGTAACACATACTCACTCCCTGGTGGCATGAAGTTCCTGATCCCATGACTCTTGCACCGTGCTTGCCTTTTGCTTATAAATTTCCATTATTCTTCTTTTTACAGTCCTTCTTCGTTGACCACAACAGCCGTGCCACCACATTCATCGATCCCAGGATCCCACTTCAAAATGGCCGTCTTCCTAATCATCTGACTCACAGGCAACATCTCCAGCGACTCCGCAGCTACAGTGCTGGAGAGGTAACAATAGTATTAATAGTTGTGGTATATCTATTCGGGCTCATGCCAGCTTATTTTTACCTTATGACAAGCAGATCAGAAACATTTATAATTTTTACTTGGAGATTGCATTTGAGCTTGTTTGCACCTGATTTTAAGCTTAGATTTCAAAACTGAAAAATAGGTTTCAATATGCCCCAAAATACTGTTCTCTTCCAACTCTTAATTGTAGGGCATATCTGTCCCTGCTCTGTGTCTTGCCCACTGTGAAGCACCTCCAGTCCAAATCCTGAAAATGAAGCAGAATAGCCATTTTAGAGCTTACAAAGTATGTGCTAAAATGAGCACCAGAGACAAAGTTAAGTTGGATTCCAGGCAACACTCCTGGCCACAGTACATAAGTAGGGTAGAGATACTTTGGTCTCCCTGAACCCTGAGTTCTCTCTTTGTTTTCACACATCTTCCTACAGTCTCCCCTGTATCTGCCACTTCTTTGATACTTACTCTACTGAACTACTGATTCACACATTTATCACTTTAGGCCTTGATGACTGAAGCTTGTTACCCCTTGTGTCCCAAAGTTGTGTAAATGCAAATTCAGATCTGTTCAGAAAGCTGTAATATTCTTGCATGTAGGAAACCCATACACTACATCTAGCTCTACTCCCCCTCAGTCTGAAACCATTCCTCTTCTCCACAACTCTTTCTCTGTAACCACTTCAAAATTCATGATGGAATCAAAAGCCCTTGATGGCCATGTTACATTAGTGATCACATCTCTCCTTCACCCCACAGGTTTTCTCTCTGTGCTGCCACTTCTGGATGTTTTTCATTGCCCTAGTTCCTGTTCTTAGAGAGTGACCCTGTACTACCCCTGTACCAGCTACTGTATGTCTCTCTTAGTTCACTTCTCTCTAGTTCTTTTCAAACAGATCATCCACTGCTGTAAGTTGTCATCCTACATCAAAGCTGTGCAAGGGTATGTCTGTGGAGGGTCTGGGCCACTCATGACAACTTCACTTCATGCCCAATCTATGGTCCCCTTCCAGGGGCAGACCCTGGACTGTGGTGACAAGGGAGTGGTGACACCCCCTTTGGGGGTCAGGTACATGTGTAGTGAAGGGAGCTCATTGTGCATGTGCCACACAGCTGAAGGGGACATGTCCAGTCCCTCACAATGATCCTGACTGCCACAGAGCTGCCAGTAGCTCCTGCTGGAGCTCCACTTGGGCTGTGAGCTCTGAGGTCACTGGCTCAGGCTCTGGCCCGAGTCCCTGCTTTCAAGCAGCACCAAAGCCTGCTGCTCTTCCCTCTTCCCCTCCTACCTCCCCTGAATTCAACAGGGAAAGGAGCAGCAGCATGGACCTTCCAGAGCTGAGTTAAAGCAGGGGCTGTGCATTGCTGGCCTCTCTCTTATTTTTCCCCCTGCTGCTGAAGGGGTGGGAAGAACAAAGAGCAGCAGGTTCCAGAGCTGCTTGAAAGCAGGAGCTCTGGGCAAAGCTTGTGCTGACCAGCGGTGAGCTCCTAGAGCTCAAAGCACATGTAGAGCTCCCAGCAGGAGCTTCACTGAAGTGCTGTTGGGCTCTGAGAGCTCAGCTGGAATGTAGGGCACAGCTAAAATGGGATGCACCTCACCACTGCATCACCACTGGATCTGCCACCATCGCCTTGGGCTCAAAGCCCTTCTGATTCTAACATTTTCATTGCTGTAACTCCAAGGTGTCCTGTGGCACATGCATAAACAACATCCTTCAAAATAAAGCAATACTTAACAGTGCAAAAGAAAGATTTGGGGCAACATAAGGTGCAATAAGAGGTGTTATGCAAGAGACTTGCATAACACTGCCCAAGGATGGACATCACTGGGACTAGCAATACAGTCCTATAGGACACCAGCCTGCAGCAAACGTGAAAATTCATCTTATTTCTGAAGGGTTTTAATAGATTGTTTCATGGATTTTTATCTTTCAGAAGAACTGTAGTTACATTGTATTTCTGTCTCTCTAAAATGTTTATCTAAAGACCTGCCAGGAGCAAGCTGTGCGGTTTTATATGCATTTGATCCTCCCTAAAACTAAACAGGCAAATTGATCTGATAATGAAAATAGATTTTATATAAAGAACAGGTTTGAGATTCTGGCCTGGCTTTGATAAAAATAATTCATTACTATTATGGCTGACATGTTAGCAGCCTGATCTTTTTGCTGCTCACTGTGATGCTATTATCTGATGAGATATATTCCCTACTATGTTGTAATAATGAGGTCCATTTCCATGCTGCTAGATTACATGAGATAGGCTTCATGATACTGAAATCATTTAAAATAATCTTTCCTCTGTTTCACAGAGATAACTTTTCACACAGCACAGGGTGGAGGGCAGGGAGCATAAATCCCACTCCAGCAGCCTAGACTGTGTTGGGTTAGGAAACAAAAGCATCAGTTTCCCTTACACTGCAGGATCCTTTTTTGCAGATACTTCTTATGGCATAGGCTTTATAGGGCTTGCTAGGTCAGAATAGGGGTAGATCACAGCCAAAGAAACTGCTGTTGGATTCATCATCATGTTACAAAAAAAAAAAAATCAGGAAAAGTTCCCATTGTGGTATGTGGAACGTACTTTTAAGGGGCCAGCAGTGGTACAGTTCAGTCTCTCCACAGATGCCCTGCGGGTATGGTTTGGTTGGTGTTGTTGTTCTCCCCGCAAGCTGTGGGGGTGTGTGTTGCTGAATCCTGTTCCTAATAAAGATAAAGCTGTTTACCACCCCACTGGTCTCTGCTGAATGCTGACATGAGGACAGAACTGCAGGGGCATGGAGGTCTGAGTAAGTACCCCATCCCAGGAACCCAGTGGCCAAGGGCAAACACAATACCCATGAGAGTTATGTTATTGTAGCTATCTATAGAGAACTCATGTTGGACACCCCTTGGAGGAAATATTTTGGTCCAGGAGATAGATTTGGAGGCTCCTTGAGACAGCAGTGCTTCAAGGGCAGGGGTGTGGGAGTGCTATGGATTTTCCTGTCATGAATAAGCATAGGAAAATATTATTGGCAAATATTCAAGAAACTCATTAATGAGTTTACTTCACTCGTGCCTCGCTCCAGTTAGGAGTCACCATCCATGCTCTATGGTCTTGCTGGCATGGCCAGCAATGGGAAAGTTGCATACACAGTAATGCTGTGCAAGCACAAAGGCTAGAATTGCTTGCATGTCATTCAGTCAGCATGCATTCAACTGCTACATAACTTAACCAGCCAGTTCTGACAGATGCACTCATCCCAAGTGGAAAATACTAGCAGAGAGCAATTAACAACAAGTCCTTAATGTTACTTAGAAGAACAAAATTAAGATTAGCAAGGAATGAATTTGGAGAAATGGTTAATTATTCAGAGGGTCTGAGGTCTAGTGAAAGAACTGTTGTGAACTTTTGTTGACTTTGGAGCAGGCCCTAAGGCCTGATCCGGCCTGCAGAGGGGCTTTATCCAGTCCACAGTGGGTCCCTCGGTCCCACCTGGCCCAGGCACCACCCACCCGTGGCGCATCTTGCTGCCCCCGAGCATGCAGCAGGGCTGGGGCGGCTCTGTGCCTGGTCTGCCTTTCTAGGCAGACCAGGCAGCGGCAGCTTCTTCCATCCACCACCGCCACTGGCCCCAACCCCACAGTACCAGTGGGGACCCCCACCACAGCCCTGACCCAGCACACCCTCTGCCTGCTCCAGGCTCACTTGCTCACAGTAAACAGCGGCAGCATCAGCACCAGCCGGGCAGAAACTGTTGCTCAGCATGGGGAAAAAGCAGCCCCTGTCCTGCTACTGCCCAGTTCTCCCTGCTACAGCCGCCTGGAGCCTGCTCTGAGCTGACCTGCATCCCTGCTGCTGCCACCACCGCCTCTGGGCCTCACAGGGCAGCACTGGCAGCTCAGACAAGTCGCAGGGCAGCCCAGTGTGGGCTCTGAGTGGCTGCAGCAGGGAACACCGGATAGCAGCGAAGGGGAGGGGCCCCTTTTCCCTCACATTGAGCAACAATTTTTGCGTGGCCAGCACTGCTGCTACCACTGTTTAGCGTGAGCAGGCGAGTCTGGAGCAGGCGCATGGCACACAGGGTCAAGGTTGTGGCGTGGGTCCCTACTGATCCACTCCCACCAGGGTGAGTCCAGAGCAGGCACAGAGCAGGCTGGGGCTGCACACTGTGGGTGGTGGCGGGGAGGTGCCGCAGGGCACATGGGCTCCGGGCTGTTGTGGGGCAGGGGTGGGTGCTGACCAGCTGAGGTAGGCGTGTGTGGGGGGCTCTTATACACACCCCACCATACCCACAAACCCTCCCCTGCAAACCCCACAACCATACCCTTGCCCACACACAATCACAAACCCCACACCCCCCACACCCTTCCCTATATGCATCCCACCACACACACCCCTGCATACCTCTTGGGGGAACCGCACTCACTGCTACGCTCACACATCCCCCACACACATGCACTCACACACACCCCGCACACCCCTAGCCATCCTTTCCCTCCACATACCCCACAAGCCCCATTCCCACCCATGGATCCTCACAAACATCCCCCCACAAATCCCCATACCCACCCACATCCACACATACCCCCATATACCCACACATCCACACACACACCCACAGCCCCCCCATAAACCCCATATCCCTCACACCTACCCACACCCCCACAATATATAGAAGTAAGACTTAATTTTGAGCTATTATGCAATCACCTCTGTATACACGACACAAACACACACAAATCAGGACAAAAATATATTTTTTAATAAAATTAAAATATGTTATTGTGGATGTTTGATTTTTAGTATATAATCTGTTTTTCTTTCCAGTTCCAAGATGGGAAACCCCCTTCCCAAATGGAGTACTACTGGGGTGAGGGGAGGGACTTCCAGTGGCAAAGGTCAGGGGTTAGGGGGCAGGACTTCTGGTCCCAAGATGGTGACCAGGGGGGCAGGGCACCTGTCATGGTGTGGGGCTACCCTCACAGCCCTCAACAGCTCAC